AAGCAAAAGGTACATAGCATATACATAGTAATTAAGTACAATAACAGAGAGAAAAGAGGGAGGAGAAGGGAGAAGTGGGGAGAGAGGGCAGAAGAGAAAGTCAGGGCTCCATTGGTTCCATTGAATTCTTTGGATTCTTAGTCTTGTTAATAAAAGAATTCAGGTCAGGCATGGTGGCACACACCTTTGATCCCAGCACCCAGGAAGCAGAGGCAGGTGAATCTCTGTGAGACGGAGGCTAGCATGGTCTACATAGTGAGGGAGTTCCAGGTCAGCTTGGGCTACAGGATGATGTATCTCCAAAAATATATATATATATATATTGTTATTTGAATAAAAAATGAAAGAATTCATGGGTGGAGTGGTTAAGAGCACTGGCTGCTCTTGCAGAGGATCCGGGTTCGATTCTCAGCACCACCATGATGGCTAACAACCATACGCAACTCTAGTTCTGTTGTACCTCATCCACTGGACCCCAAAAAGACCACCGAGGACCCAAAACACCAAAATGCAAAAGCAAAGGTTTATGGTTTATTTGGGCTTAAGCTCGGGCTCTCAGACCTCACCAACTCAACGGATCTGTGCTGAGAGCCCAGAGTAAGGGAGAGTGGAGCCTTTTATAGGTTTTAGAAAAAGAGAGGAGGGGGATACCGAAGATACATTTTAGTTGGTTCAAGGAGCCCGCTCGTGCCAACATAATTTTAAACTGATTGGATGTATAAGATGCAGCCCTGGAAGTTTCTTATTGGTAGGTGCTATTCTCAGGGCTGTGGAATGTGACTGTTATCTGTGGGGCCAGGAGTCTCCCTTTTTACCTTATAGGGCAGTTTTCATGCCCGGGTTTGCTTAATTTATAGTTTCCTTGAAGGGGGTGGGCATAGCAGGCAGGGGTCAGGGCATGCCAGGGCATGTCTAGGCATGTCTAAAGCAGCAGCCAAGCATTTTATAGAAGCTAAAAGAGCAATTAGTGGGGTCTGGAGGGATTGGGGGGTAGCAGGTGAATGAAGAGGGTCTCAGGGTCATACCGTTCCAGGGGACCTGACCACTTCTGACCTCTGCACACATTGTATACACAGGTCTACTTACATACATGCAGGCAAGACATTCATGTACATAAAATAAAAATAAAATAATAGAGAAAAAACCAACACCAGGGTACTACGAAATTCTCAAAAATTAATAAAAAGAAACGCACACATGCACACATGCATGCGCACACACAAATGCACAGGCACACACAGGCATGCACACACATGAATACATACATGTATACACATGCACAAACACACACATGAATACACACACACACACACACACACACACACACACACATACACATGGCAGTTAAGCTACCTAGTAACTCAGGCAGGCTACTTAGTGAAGGCTCTGTAAGTGGCTGCATGGGGGAGGGGTTTTCCGGGAAGGATCGTTTATTATGTCACTAAAGGAAGGAATAATTATTCCTCCTCTGGCCTTACCATGCTCTCAGGTGAGCCAGATTTCCTGTGACCCCATGAGTGCAGCAGGCCATGCCCAGAGACGGCTTCACAGCTCTCCCTTCCTTTCAGTGCCTACATTCTTTTATTTTAAAAGGACTAGGGGTCCAAGAGATGGTTCAGCAGTTAAGAGCACTAGCTGTTCTTGCAGAGGACCCAGGTTCAATTCCCAGCACCCACATGGCAGCTCACAACTGTTGGTAACTCTAGTTCCAGGGGATCCAGCAGCCTTTTCTGTCATTGCATGACACGGGTGCACTTACCTACATGCAGAACTCACTATGCAGACCAGGCTGGCCTCGAACTCACAAAGATCTGCCTGCCTCTGCCTCCCAAGTTGCTGGGATTAAAGGTGTGTGCCACCACACCTGGCCTAAAAATACTTTTTAAAAAGGGAATAAAGCTGTTTCTCTGGTTTTTAATTTTAAAAGAATGATCTGTGTGTTTTGCCTGCATGTATGTAAATGCACCTGTGTCATGCAATGCCCACAGATGCCAGAAGAGGGCATCACTGTGTAAGTGTACCCACGTTGTGCAATGCCCTTGGAGGCCAGAAAAGGGCATCAGATCCCCTGTAAGTAGAGTTACAGATGGCCGTCAGCTGTCACATGGGTGCTGGGAACTGAACTCAGGTCCTCTGCAAGAGCAGCCAGTGTTCTTAACACTCTCCAGCCCCCACCTTACATTTTGAGGCTGGTTTCTCACTGAATTCAGAGCTCTCTGACTCTGCTTCATCTGTACTGACTGTCCAGTGAGCACCAGCCCCATCCCATCTCTGTCTCCTCCACAATAGGATTACCAGTAGCACCTTTAAAATTTTAGAGGGGCTGGAGAGATGGCTCAGTGGTTAAGAACACTGGCTGTTCTTGCAAAAGACCCAGATTTGAATCCCAGCACCCACATGGCAGCTAACAACTGTCTGTAACTCCAGTTCCAGGGGATCCAATAGCCTCTTCTGACCTCCACAGCACTGCATGACACGGGTGCACTTATCTACATGCAGGCAATACACGCATACACATAAAATAAAAATAATAAATAAAGTATTTTTTTTTAATTTTAGAGTGGATGGTGATGTGGGTGGTTTGAGGAGAGGGAAGGAAAGCTGGTGAGTGCCATGGGAATGGAAGGCAAAATCCTTGACCTTACTGACCTGTGATGCAGTCCCAGAAGCCAGTGGGTCTGGACTCAGTGATTTGAGGGAGGAGGCTGGGGTCTGAGGGAAGAGGCTGAGGTCTGGGCTCCTGGGTCCAAGGGAGGAGGCTGGGGTCTAGACTCTTGGGTCTGAGGGAGGAGGACTAGGGCCTGGGCTCCTGGGTCGAGGGAGGAGGCTGAAGTCTGGGCTCCTGGGTCTGAGGGAAGAGGCTGAGGTCTGGACCCCTGGGTCTGAGGAAGGAGGCTGAGGTCTGGGCTCCTGGGTCTGAGGGAAGAGGCTAGGGTCTGGATGCCTGGGTCTGAGATATGAGGCTGAGGTCTGAATCACTGGGTCTGAGGGAAGAGGGATGGGGTCTGGACTCCTGGGTCTGGGGGAGGAGGACTAGGGCCTGGGCTCCTGGTCTGAGGGAGGAGGCTATTATCTGCACAGCAGGTTCTGAGGACCAAGGTCTGTATGTGTGTGTCATCCATATGCATTATCAATGATTGGGGCATCTCTGGCTATGACCAGATCAGAGAGGTCAGTGGAGGTTCTGATAAGGACTGATGGGAAGATCCTGGCTGACCACTGCCTGGGAAGGAATTCTGGGAGAGAAACAGGAAGGACAAGTGGGAGGGACAGGCCCTGCTGAAGAGCATCCTTATGTCAACAGGTCCTGTGGTGTCAGTGCCAGAGGAGGGCAGCTGCCTGGGTGTGCCTGCTTTTAGTCACAGGGCACCCCTCCCTTCCAGAGGCCCCTGACCTTTGTGGAGTGCGGCCCACTCTCCCTGGTTCCCAGCACCATCTTCGGAACCCAGTTGCTGACTGCTCTCTCTGGGCTGGCCCTCGGAGGACACAGGTGTCCAGTCTCCCTCCCTCCTCACTAGACACCTCTTTCTCCATTGTTTGTCACCTGTGATACACAGGTACTTCCCCGCCCCTCCACCTTAGTGACTTAGGTTGTCCCCTCCACCCAGCCTTTCTCGCCCTCTGCCTCTGTCCCCCATCTTTTACACGTGAGGGAAATGAAGACCCTGGAAATGCAGAGAAAAACACACCACCCTCTGCAGTCAGGCTTAAAACCAGCTGCAACTTGTTCTTTTTAATTACATTTTTATGTATGTATGCATCTGTTTATGTGGGCAAACAAGTCATGATGGGTGTGTGGAGGTCAGAAGACAACTTATGGGAGTCGGTTCTCGACATCCACAATGTGGGTCCTGGTGGTGTCACACTTGGCCGTAAGCCCCTTTGCCTGCTGAGCCATCTCACTGGACTGTAAACCAGCTACACATTCTTAGCAGACTTTCCAACCCAGGTCTCCTCCCTCCAGTAACTGATGCCCAAAATTTATCTGTATTTTCCAGGTTGAGCACACACTGTTTGGTTCAGTTTTAATTCTGAGCATATTTCATTTGACATATGAATCCTGTTCAAGTGTGACATTGTCCTTCTCTCATTGAACGTCATACAGCAACAATGCACACACTACGTATTATAGCTTAGACATTATTTTCTGTGACTGTATAATATTCTGGGAGAAAGTGACCTACTGTTTAAATATTACAATACTTTATGGGTTTGGGGTTTTTTTTTAAGACAGTCTCACTGTGTGGCCCTTCCTGGCTGGGATCTCACTACATAAACCAGGTTGGCCTTGAACTTACAGAGATTCACCTGCTTCTGCCTCCTAAGTGCTGTGCTGCAGTTAGAAGTGTACAGCACCACCCCCAGCCAATAAATCCACCACTTGGTAACACGGAGCATGTTTGTGAGTGCCACTTTTTTTTTTGTGTGTGTGGCAATAAATAACGAATACAGCAGGGCGTGGTGGTGCAGGCCTTTAATCCCAGCATTCCGTCAGGAGGCGGATCTCTGTGAGTTCAAGGCCAGCCTGGTCTACAATAGCAAGTTCCAGGTCAGCTGGGGCTACAGGAAGACCCTTTTTCAAAAAAACCAAAAAAAAAAAAAAAAAAGGAAAAAAAAAGAATCCAGATCGCTTTATTTTTTAAAAGACTTATTTTATTATTTTTAAATTGAGAGAGAGAGAGAGAGAGAGAGCCTTCCGAGGTCAGAGCTGCCTGATGTGGGTGCTGAAAACTGAACCCAGGTCTCTGCAAGAGTAGCATGTATTCTTAACCGCTGAGCCATCTCTCCAGCCCCTCTATTTTTCAATAAGTACTCTTTGGAATGAAAATGCCTGGGTCAAGGCAGTGGGTGAAGGTCTATGAGTTCTAACAGTTGCTTGATTGAATCCCAGCTCCCTGTTGGAGAGCACTGACCTGGAATCTTCCACAGAACTGAGGTTTCTTATTTTCTTGACTTGCTTTTGGGTCTTTGGGGTTTTGATGGGCCTAGTGTTGAGGCTTTAGTACATTTCGAGGGAAGGTGAAGTCAGATCGGACTTTCTTGCGTGGCCACTGGTATCCGGACTCTGGATATATCCCTCAAAGCGCACAGCTTGACTTTTGCATTAGCGGAAGGTTTTCATGGTCTGTTGCACCCACCGGTTATACTTGCAGACTTGAGTGTAGACGCCTGGGTCATTGGGCTGGCCGCAGGGGTAAGTCCCCCAGGACACCAGACCTTGCAGGGTGTCATTGCACACCAACGGTCCCCCTGAGTCACCCTGTGGGGACAAAGCAGATTAGTTTCAACAGCGCAGGAAAGCTCCTGACTCCTAAGTCAGCTCAGACACCCCAGTTCAGACTTCTGACAAACCATTGACCTCCACTTCCAGCCTGCCAAGGAGCAGACTCGGGGCCTCTGGGAGGCAAGGGAGAGCAGAGCCTCCTGTCAGGGCTACCGCAAGGGCTTTGGCTGAGGAACCTCTGGCTGGGAAGGGGACCTGACTTCACAGGATTTTGCTTCAGCCTGAGGTTAAGGCTGGGGAGAAGGGTGTCCTTTGGGAATGGGTAGGGGGCACCTTGGACAAGAAAAGGGTTGTCCTTGGAAATGGGCAGAAACTGCTACTATGCCAGGTCTGGGTCCCCCTGCAAACCCCAGGACAGAGGACAGCAGCGGGGTGCATTACAGGAAGCCTGGGACCTGCTGAGCCTGCCAACCAGCCCTGCCAGCCAGTACAGTGGTGGAAAGGGGTCTGTGTGTCAGGTTCTCAGGGCCAGGGCTGTCTCCTACTAATCCTTCCTCAACACAAAGCAAGACACCTGTCCTAAGAGAGGGACGAGAGAGAGACAGAGAGGGAGAGGGAGGGAGGGAAGAAGAGAGGATGAGGGAGGGAGGAAGGGGGGAGAGAGGGAGGAAGAGGGAGGGAGGGAGGGAAGGAGAGGGAGAGAGGGGGGAGAGAGAAGGGAGAAAGGTAGAGGTAGAGAGAGGAGGAGGAGAAGGGAAGAAGAGGAAGAGGAGGGGGGGGCAAGGGGAGAGACAGAAAGAGAGCCAAACAGACAGAAGCCAGCCCAGGACAGAGACAAAGCAAAGAGGACGGAGGATAAAATAACATGAGGAATAAAAATAAAGAGGTAGGAAAATGCTGTCCAAAGACAGAGCGTGGAGACAGCCAGACAGGAAGGAACAAAGGGATTGACCCAGACCAAGGTCTGCCGAGTCGAGTCGGAGCTCCGATCAGGCAGAGAATGCCACTGATCATAAGAAAGAAGCTAAAGAGCATTTGGAGAAAATAAATTCCACTCCATTAATAATACGGCTGCAGAGAGGGCTCAGCAGTTAAGAGCACTGGCTGCTCTTGTGGAAGGCCTGGGTTCCGTTCCCAGCGCCCACATGGCTCACAACCATCTGGCTCCAGTTCCACGGGATCCAAAGTCCTCTTCTGGCCTCCACCAGCATTGTATGTATGCGATGCACTTACATACATGCAAGCAAATACATATATACATAAATAATAATAATAATAATAATGATGATGATGATGATGATGATGGAGGAGGATGGGGAGTAAAGGGGAAGTGAAAACTTCAAACATTCAATAAAAATATTAAATAAAAAAACACCTCTCTAGTCATGGTGGCACACGCCATTAATTCCAGCACTTGAGAGGCAGAGGCAGGTGAATCTGTGAGTTCGAGGCCAACCTGGTCTAAAAGCAAGCTCCAGTTCAGTTGGGGCTACGGAGAGACCCTGTCTCAACAACAGTAACAAAAACAAAAAATCTTAAAAACACCTCAAATGGAGCCGGGGGTGGTGGCGCACACCTTTAGTCCCAGCACTCAGGAAGCAGAGGCAGGTGGATCTCTGTGAGTTTCAGACCAGTCTGGTCTGCCTAGGGAGTTCCAAACCAGGCTGATCTATACAGTAAGAGCTTATTTAAAAAAAAAAAAAATTCAAATGGACCTGTCATCCCAGCACTCAGGAGGCTGAGGCAGGAGGATCAAGTTTAGGCTGGAATCAGGAGACTCAAATTCCTCTCTCTCAGCCCCACTTAATTATGGCCCCTTTGCCTAGAGCCGTCCCAGGCCCTGCAGATAATACGCTAAGGAGGCGGGGTCTGGGCGGGGCCAGCAAGGCCGGGGGCGGGGCTCACGTTGCAGGTGTTGGTCTTGGAATCCGGGATGCCAGCGCACAGCATGGTTTTCCCCAGCAGGTCCTTGTAGACCTTCTTGCAGTCCTTAGCGGAGATGAGCTTCACGTCCGAGCACATGAGATCCGAGGGGAAGGTCACTGTGGGAGGAGGGCGTCAGGCAGGTGCTGTGCCCAGGAGCCGTGCCAGAGGGGCAGGACAGGGTTGGAACCCCAGGGAGCAGGCTGCGGAGGACCCCTGGGTCTGAGGGAGGAGGCTGGGGTGTGGATCCCTGGGTCTGAGGGAGGAGACTGGGGTCTGGACCCCTGGGTCTGAGGGAGGGGGCTGGGGTGTGGATCCCTGGGTCTGAGGGAGGAGGCTGGGGTCTGGACCCCTGGGTCTGAGGGAGGAGACTGCGGAGGACCCCTGGGTCTGAGGGAGGAGGCTGGGGTCTGGACCCCTGGGTCTGAGGGAGGGGGCTGGGGTGTGGATCCCTGGGTCTGAGGGAGGAGGCTGGGGTCTGGACCCCTGGGTCTGAGGGCGGAGACTGCGGAGGACCCCTGGGTCTGAGGGAGGAGGCTGGGGTGTGGATCCCTGGGTCTGAGGGAGGAGGGTGGGGTCTGGATCCCTGGGTCTGAGGGAGGAGGACTGGGGGGGTCTGGACTCTGGGTCTGAGGGAGGCAGTGGGCTAGCATCATCCCTTAGGGCCTCACCATCTGGGCTGGTCGTGGTGCCCCATCCAGAGACGGTACAGGAAGTCCCTGGGGATGCACAGTTAGTGGGCAGCTTGACTTTCTGAATTTTGGATGACATCTTGACTGGCCTGTCCATCCTCACAAGCATGATGTCATTGGCGTGCGTCTTTGTGGAGTAGCCGGGGTGTCGGACAGACTTTGTGGCTTTGATCATTTGGGCACTCCGGTCACCTATCTTGTCACTGCCCAGCTGTACTGTGTACTGACTAGGAGAGGGGATGACATGCCAAAAGTGAGGGAGAGGCAGAGAGAGAGAGACAGAGAGACAGAGAGACAGAGAGACAGAGACAGAGAGAGACAGAGAGAGAGACAGACAGAGACACAGAGACACAGAGATGACAGAGACACAGAGAGAGACAGAGACACAGAGACAGAGAGAGACAGAGAGAGGAGACAGCGACCCAGAGAGAGACAGAGAGAGGAGAGAGACAGCAACCCAAAGAGAGACAGAGAGAGGAGAGAGACAGTCTGAGAAAGAGAGATAGAAATAGAAAGACAGAAACCTAGAGAGAGAGACAGAGATGGGGAGAGAGAGACAGAGACACAGAGAGAGACAGAGAGGAGAGCGACAGAGAGGAGAGAGACAGCGACCCAGAGAGACACAGAGAGGAGAGAGACAGAGAGAAGAGAGAGACCCAGAGAGACAGAGAGAAAGAAACCCAGAGAGAGAGACAGAGATGGGGGAGAGACAGAGATGGGAGAGAGAGAGAGAGAGAGAGAGAGAGAGAGAGAGAGAGAGAGACACAGAGAGAGACAGAGAGGCCAGAGGGGGAACAGAGATGGAGAGAGAGACAGAAACCCAGAGAAAATGAGAGAGACAGAGACCGAGAGGGGGGCAGATATCCAGAGAGAGAGACAGAGAGCAGACCCCAACCTACCTGGCCCTCACATCACCTACCCCATCTTGCAGTGAGCTGCAGTGAGCACCCAGCGCTCACTGACCAGTACTCCTCCACAGTGGAGCTGATTGCCCTTGAGTAGAGCCACCTGCCATGGGTGGGAGCCTTTTTCACACGGGTAGCCATCGATAATTCGATCCCCACTCTTGTTACCCAGGCCTGGATAGAGACACACACATAGGTATCCAGCATGGGGGGGTAGGGCAGGCAGCAAACAGCATTCACAGAAGCAGAGACGCACAGGAAGTCTCCGGGGCAACACAGAGGCCAGGACAGTGCAAAGCAGGTGGAAAGGGCTGGGGACCTCTCAGAAGACCCCACCAGTGTGTCACCCATAGGCGACTGCAGACCCAAGGAGCCCCCCCTGTAGTGGCCCTAGGGTGTCAGACTGAGGCAGGAGTAGGGGACAGCAGGACAGGGTCACAGGGTCAGTCCTTCTGGGAAGGAAGCTTTGTAGGACATGGGGCTCAGAGTCAGGGTACGGGGGCAGGGGGCACTGGGCAAGCGTTCACCTCCTTGTCCAGCAGCTCCCAGGGCTAAGGACAGCAGCACAGTTAACAGGGGTGGGAGAAGGCATCCCCCCATAGTGCTTCAGGGCTCAGGGGCCAACAGATGAGAAGACTAGGTGTTGCTGGAGCTGGGAAGATAGAGATGTGAGGCGGTAAAAGACAGCCCCGCCCTCCTCCCTCAGGAGTGGGTGTAGGGTGTGTGTGTGTGTGTGTGTGTGTGTGTGTGTGTGTGTGTGTGTGTGTGTCTAACCCCAGGCCTCCTCCCTCAGACCCTGGGGTCCAGACTCCATCCTCTTTCATTAGACCTAAGAGTCCAATACCAGCTTTCTCCCTCAGACCTAGGGATCCAGACCCCCAGCCTCCTCCCTCAGACCCAAAAGTCCAAACCCCAGCCTCCTCCCTAAACCCAGGAGTCCAGACCCCAGCCTCCTCCCTCAGACCCAAAAGTCCAAACCCCAGCCTCCTCCCTCAGACCCAGGGTCCAGACCCCAGCCTCCTCCCTCAGACCCAGGGTCCAGACCCCAGCCTCCTCCCTCAGACCCAGGGGTCCAGATCCAGGGGTCTAGACCCCATCCTCCTCCATCAAACCTAAGGGTCTAGTTCCAGCCTTCTCCCTCAGACCATGGACCAGACCCATCCTTCCCCCCTCAGACCCAGGGCTCCTCACCCCTGACCCCCTCAGTATCTCAGCTTCCCTTTGATTCTGTAAGAGGGTCCCTGGCCTCTGTGCTGCAGAGGCTCCTGTCTCAGTCCTTGGAGCCCCAGTCTCCTGGGCCGTAGCCCCTTCCCCACACACCCGTTGAGGGCCCCTCTCACCTGGGAGGGTCTGACCTGGTTCGGCTCCGTCCTGGTCAGGAGCCCAGTGCCTGCAGCCCTCCGCAGGGCGGTCCTTTTATAAACCCCCGCCCTCGCACCCGCCCCCAGCGTCCTGGGGCGCAGGTGGAGCTGTCTCTTGGCAGCTTCCCTGGTGTTTGAGGACTGGGTTATCTGAAATCCCTGAGGCCTTCCCAGGGAGCAGGAGATACCACAGTCCTCTGCCTCCACCCTGCTCACAGCAGCCTGGGAGGGTGGCACCCGACCAGCCGCTCTCATACATTGTAGCACCCCTGTGCCTGGGGGCTGCTGGCTGGAGCAGAATTTAACTTGGCGCAGAGGGCAGAGTCTGAACTCAGCCTGGATCCCTACTGGGGTCATTTTCTTAACGTGGCTCCCTTGACAGGGTGGTCAGACCTCACACCCGGACTGTGAGCCACCTGTTGGAACTTTGCATGCTGGACCCATCTGGTCTCTGAGACTGAAACTCACTCCCAGCCCTAGTACACAAGAAAAAGAGAGCCCTCGGGCTGCGGAGATGGCTCAGTGGTTAGAGCATTGTCTCTTCTTCCAGAGGACCCAGGTTCAGATCCCAGCACCCACACGACAACTAACAACCATCTGTAACTCCAGTTCCAGAGGATCTGATGCCCTTTTCTGGCCTCTGTGGCATTGCATGCATGTGGTGCACTTACATGCAGGCAAAACACTGATACACATAAAATAAAAATAATAAACAGAAGAAAAGAGAGTGTTGCACCCATAATTCCACCCCCCACACCAGCAGAATTTGATCTTTGATCTCATGTTGAGATTTCTGGTCCCCCCCCCCCCCCGGTCCTTTTGAGACAGGTCTCCCTGTAGCCCCAGCTGACTGAGAACATGCTATGGAGACCAGGCTGGATAGTGTCACAGAGATCCACTGGCCTCTGCCTCTTGACACCCAGCTTGACATTTCATTTTAACCACATTTATTTATTTGTGTGTGTGTGTGTGTGTGTGTGTGTGTGTACGCTCGTGATCATGCACATGCGTGTGTGTGCACCGCGGTGCACCGGTGGAGGTCAGGGGACAACATGCTGGAGTTAGTTCTCTCCTTCCACCATGTGGGTCCCCCAGATGGAACTCAGGTCCTCAGGCTCAGCTACACACCTCTTTACCAAGCTGTGCCATCTCAGTGACCATTATGTGGATTGTTAATCATATGATTCATAGGACTTTCCACAAATTTTACAACAAAATGTATTAAGCATTATCTAACAGAATTTCTTTTTGACTTTATTTTATAAATTTTTTTCTAAAAAGATTCCTCCATTCATTCCTTTGGTTGGGAGTGTGCTAGGGATTGAACCCAGGACCTTGTGCATGCTAGACAGGTGATCTACCACTGAGCCACACCCCAGCCCCTCACTGGGGGATACTAGGCAGGGGCTCTACCACTGAGCACACCCCAGCCCCTCACTAGGGGATCCTAGGCAGGGGCTCTACCACTGAGCCACACCCCAGCCCCTCACTGGGATTCTTAGGTGCGAAGAGACACTGGAAGCTGCATGTCGTGGCACATACTTGCCTGTCATCCCAACACTCAGGAGGTGGAGGCAACAGGATCAGATGTTCAAGATCATCTGTAGCTGTATACGTGAGCTCAAAGCCTAGATCACATGAGATATTATCTCAAAACAAAAAAGAAAGAAGGAAAGAAAGAGAAAAGAGAGAAAGAAAGAAAGAAAGGAAAGAAAAAAAGAAAGAAAGAAAGAAAGAAAGGAGGACAGTTTATTCTTTTATCCTGCCACGTAGTGCCCCTCCCTCTTTGGCATGGCAATTCTGAAATTATCTCAGCTTCCTGGTACCTTGAAGGGATGTGGCAGTGGAGCAGGCCAAGACACCAGGGATAGCCAGAGGGGACCTGCTGTGTCTCCATGTAGTTGCTGAGCCAGAGAACGTACCCCTTCCTCTCCTGACTGTTCTAGGCATTCTGTCTAGGTTATAGCTGTTTGGTCCTGACAGCCACTTTTATCCTTCTTAAGACCTCAGCGTTGACTTCAAGGTCAACTCAACTATGGTCCCTGAGCATGAAGCCCCAGCAGTAGAGCCCCTGCCTAGGATCCCCCAGTGAGGGGCTGGGGCGTGGCTCAGTGGTAGAGCCCCTCCCTAGAATCCCCCAGTGAGGGGCTGGGGTGTGGCTCAGTGGTAGAGCCCCTGCCTAGGATCCCCAGTGAGGGGCTGGGGTGTGGCTCAGTGGTAGAGCCCCTGCCTAGACTTCCCAAATGAGGGGCTGGGATGTGGCTCAGTGGTAGAGCCCCTGCCTAGGATCCCCCAGTGAGGGGCTGGGGTGTGGCTCAGTGGTAGAGCCCCTGCCTAGAATCCCCAGTGAAGGGCTGGGGGCATAGCATGCTCAAATGCTGGGTTCAGTCCCCCAGGCCTCAAAATTTGCATAGCTATAGCATTGAAGAAATGCAGCTGAGGTGGAAAAAGAGCTGTAAATAAAGATGAAGACAGGATATGGGTGGGGTTGAACTGTCAGGATTGGTGCTGGATGGGCTCATGGGGATGATATTAGCCTGGAGTTCCTGTAGTATCACGAGCTAGAGACTGAAGTCAGGATTGTGCCTGGGTGGTGCACAGCTGGTTTGGGATTGACACTTTAATGTTCCTCAGTGTTTGGATCCAGGCTGATCTTAGCTTATGGCTAAAGGTTCAGGGTTCAGGTTGAGAGTCAGTGACCAGTGCATGATGGGTCATGACTGTTTTCCCAGCACTGGTAAGGTGGAGGCCGGAAAACCAGGAGTTCAAGGTCATCTTTGAACTACATAGCAAGACTGAAGTCTGGGTGCTCTCCTTCCTTGATATGTGGAGTTGGGAACTTGCCCAAGGTTTAGATTCTGGGTTCAGCTTAGATCAGTCAAAATTGAAATACGATTTGGAGCTTGAATCAGGTACAAGCTAAGGTTTGGGGTTAAGCCTGGGGCTGTGTCAAAATCATTGGTTGGTATTAGGGTTACACTTGAGGCCAAGGTCTGAGGTCTTTGTCCTGGTGGGAAATGGTTGACCACTGTTCTCCTAGTGGGTGTTGCTGTGCCTTCTACACTTAGCCCTGTTCCTCTCTGGGCTACGGCTCCCTAAAAGTGATTTCATAACGTCTGAGCTTTCCTTTGGAGCCCTTGTATACACTGCCATGTATGGTTATCACGAATGTGTGTCTGTGTGTGTGCATGTCTGGTCTGTGTGTATGTGTATCTGTGTGTCTGTGTATGTATGTGTATGTATGCCTACATGTGTATGTTTGTGTGTTTCTGTGTGTATGCATGCCTGTGTCTGTGTGTGTCTGTGTGTACATATATCTGGGTATGTATGTATGTATGTATGTGTGTCTGTGTATCTGTGTGTATGTATGTGTGTATGTATATCTGTGTGTGTATGTATGTCTGTGTGTATGCATGTCTATGTCTGTGTGTATATGTATCTGTGTGTGTATGTATGTGTGTGTCTGTGTCTATGTGTATCTGTGTGTGTATGTATGTATGTGCCTGTGTCTATGTGCTTCTGTGTGTCTGTGTGTATGCACATCTGTGTCTGTGTGTCTGTGTGTTCATGTGGGTATGTGTGTCTGTGTGTCTATGTATGTATATGTTTGTGTCTGTGTGCATGCATGTATATGTGTGTCTGTGTATAGACATGTGTGTCTGTGTGTCTCTGTGTTCATGTGTATATGTGTGTGCATATATGTGTATGTATGTGCATGTTGATATGTGTGTGTGCATGTGTGTATGTGTGTGGTTTACGCATGTGAGTGTGCACACCCGCATACACACATGAGAGGTCAAAGCAGACCATTGGGGTCCTTTATCGCTCTCCAGCTTTTTCATCCAAACAGAGTCTCTCAATGAGCAGGAAGCTCGTCATTTCCACCACGCTGGCTGGCCAGAGTGCTCAGGATCTGCCCGTCTCCACCCGCCCCCCACTAGTGCACGTGGGGATCAAACTCGGGTCCTCCTGCTATGGAATGAGAGCTCTTGCCCTCTGAGCCTTGCCCCAGACCTGCCATGCATTGCTTGATCATTGTTTTTGCACAAGACAGTCAACGACTTGACTCATATGTGTCTATCTCTGCACCCTCAACACCTTGGCCAGCCTGGACATCTGATGCCCATACACATGTGATTGAAGGATCATATCTGAAGTAGGTATGGGACAAAGGATGGGAAGAGACTGGAGGAAGACGTGGATTTGTTGACTTCTGTGATTTAATATAAGGTTCCAGCA